GATACGAGCTCATGTTGCAGGCAAAAAGGCATGTGCACGTTGTGCAAATCGCTGACAAAATGCGAGCCCACTTCGACTGCTGATCGCAATTGGCGGTGGCAACGTGAGGGGATCACAGATTAGAGATCCCGGGTTAATGGCCCGATTTTAATGAATTTTATGATGCTCTACGCCGTAGGCTCCGTTATCCATCTAGATACCTTTTGGCACTCATTTGTCACTTTATGGCAATGCCTTTCCAGCGAAAGACTAGAATATCTTTCTACACAGTGGTTCGGCTGTTAAGCTATCTTAAATCTGAGACATGATCTGCATGAAGTATAAAAATACTTAAATTTTACGTTTGATGAAGCACGCTTTGCACTAATTCTAAATACCACTTAATATGTTATACGCACACCTACATATTTGGTCAATTTATTCATTAGGTAGTCAGCCTTGACGCTTTTATATTTTATTTGTTGATTGTCCAAAACGGGTTATAATGTTCTACGAAGCACGCCTTTCTACAGCATAGTATTTGATAATGGCAAATAAAAATAGTTCGTTTTGTAACTTGTATCTAGCTCACGCTATCACCTCTAGTGTAATATGCAATGGATGGACGCAAGCACAGATTCACACAGAAAGAAAACTACAACAAATAGCTCACTGTATCACATCGAACGCAAATGAAAATGAAATCAAACACTAGTTCAGTCTATAGACTTTGGAATCGAGATCCAAAAGCGATGAAGCACTTTCGCATGGGGATCCATCCCTCTTCTGGCGCCATAAACTGAAGATCTCGTGATGTGGAGAGACCTCCAAGATGTTCGTGTTTCGTGTGTAAGTTGTTTGCTCTTCGGTTGTGTTTTGTATTTTTTTGTAATCTTTGGTCGTTAGCCCAATGCGGAAGTCGGGCCCCAGGAAAATGTTTCTTTGTCTAACAACTGTATTAGCCAGCATCCAACTCAACACCCGCATCAATTGATCAGCACTCCTGGAGCAATTACGATCACCGCCCGCTGACTTCGCCGCGGAGTTTCTATGTGGTTTCCATTTTTTGTTAAATAAAATCAAATCCAATCATAAATAAATTTAAACTCGTTTGACCACAAACTTAAGCCAAATGAACACACAAGCGCACATGAACTTATATCCACATATAGAAAATCCCGATTGGCATGTAAGAAGCGTGCAGGTTTTAATGCGAATCAAGCTTACACAGGGAAAAACTCCACGCCACTGAAGGCCGAAATAGGAAAATGACTACTTCAGCAAATAAAAAAAGGTTAATTTATTTAAATTATTTATCAAGTACAATATTATTTATAAGCACAATAATATACGTCGTTTATGGTTAAGTTATTCCAAGAATATACCAGTTAGTTAGAACTCTAGAAGTAGAACAGGTAGAAGTTTAGTTCTGCTACAGAATTCCTGAAGCCATCATCTATTTCGAACTGTGCACTAATACAAGGCACGGAACTGAATCAAAGTTAGGGGAGTTGGAGGCGGATCCTAAGACGAGGGCACGGAAACAGGTACAGGCACTTAAGTGCGTTCAATATTGTCGTGGGCTGTGGAGTGCCGAGAGTGTACCTCGGATACGGATGATTGCCTGGCTTCAGCTGGGCACATACCAATGGCAGTAAGTACCTACGTACAGATCGCTGAGTATGCTGTAGATACAACTCTATCCGCCCCCTCCTCGAGTGACTGGGGTTGTCAGCTGTGGACATTACTCGGTCGCTTGGGCGGTTATCGAATTAAATTGGACGCGAAATGCGGTAAGATATTTATCGCGCCACAGCGATACCCTGCAATTTGCAGGGAGTTTCAAGCTGTTATTTCAATTGAATCCGCAAGCAGATGACAGGTTGGCAGTTATTGTTATGTATGTTACTCGACTCGAGAGTCGAGGTTTTCTTGTAATGGATTTTTTTGACAACAATTTAATAAGTGTTTTTTATGCTAAGGTGTGCAACTTGCTGGTTATGTTTCATAATAATTTAATCTTCAAGCGAAGCGATTAGGAAAATCGACTGTACTAAAACTTAAACTACCATATCCATAAAATATTTTTATTCATATTGTAGCTGCAGCGGAAGCTTGATGAATTATCTTTTATTGAGTGGTCCCATGAAATGTTTCTATTGCTATATTCAATCCCACAGCGTTTTCACTTCCTATTCAGTTTGTCCTCTGGCTGGGGAAGTTGGATAGGATTTTCCTGGGTCGTTTGCGTTTCGACCTCGATGCAGTAGCCGCTTGACTTATATATGCATATCACGCTGCTTTTTCTTGTTATGTTGTTTTCAGTTCATGAGTTTTTTATTTTAGCCAGCATTTACAAGCGTGTTTAATCGCAATTGGCGGAGAGCAATTCGCTCGTGTTTGCAATGTTAGCTGATTTTTTACATATATGTATCTACATATGAGATGTTCCTCTTTTTGCATCTTTCGCTCTCTCGCCTTAATCAATTCAATGTTGATTTCTACCTTAGTTTCCCACTCATTTGCATCAGCCATAAATTGAATTCAACACGAGTGTCCGTCTCCGAGTCAATGATTTTCTCTTTTTCTCTTTTTTCCCACTTTGCATATCAGGTGACACGATTTGGGGGGTAAAACGCGCCCCCTTTAACATACTCGTACATCTTGATTTCTTCCTCACTGCTCAAGTTATTTACACGCGTTTAATTCAATTTCAATTGCACAATTAATCAAGAGCTAGGTACACCCTGGAGCTGAGTATTCACATTCATTCACCATTCACCACCCGAAAAAAACCGAATTCACTTTTTAGTTTCCCTGTGCGTGATTTGGCGCTTGAAGTTCAACGGAGCGTATGAGCGATTTGGAGTTGTCGAGCCTCTCTTTTTGTGTTTGTTGAACTCTTTCTGTGTTAATTAAACACTTAGACTTGGCCGCGCTTTGTTAACGCTGTCATAATACCGACTATCCCCCGTCCCCCCTGAACACAATTGCATTTTTTCGGAATCTGTTCCGTTTTCGTGTGTGCAAAATGATTGATTCGATTTCTCAGTGGCAGCCAACGCACAATGGGCAAAGCCACGCTAAATTTATGGCCCCCAACTCGAACTGCATGAAATTTTTGATTACCTGCAACGAAGGCTGACCCCAAAAGTGGAAATACCCTACAAAAAATTACACAATACTTTATTATTTGCTTAAGCTCGAAAATTACATATTCAATTTGATGTGGTGTGTCTTAAGCTGAAACTGAATTACTGATGCATTTCTAAATTAAAAGTGTCCAGAAAACCTTGTAAGTATTAGTAACTTTTGAACAACTATTACGACATTTTCAGTTATCACAATAACTCAAGAAAAACGTTGTGCTAAGTAGCTTAAAGAGTTCATATGTTTTATGACTCGCTCCGATTCAAAGTGGAATCGGACTGGAGTCTATGACTTTTAAGGTGGGTCGTCGTTAATAGCGGAAATTCCACATGCGATCAGCTTGCAAAGAAACGCTGAAAAGTCAACCACCGCCTCTATTGGCGGGCATACCGCCAAATGGAAATCAAAGCCAAATGGAAACACGAAGCTATCTTGCAGATGCATAGATGCACGGGGGCAATTGAAAAAAAGCGACACCAGTGCTGCTTGGGTGCAATAACATTGACATTTAGAATGCGGACCGAGACCTGGGCCATTCATAATTGCAAAAATGCCATACAGAGCGGCGAGAAAACCCCAAATGAATCCGCAACCAAAACCAAAGTCACAGATACAGATGCCAGGAAAAAAACAAAACCGAGTCGCGACACAGAAACTGCCAAGCGAAATCGAAATTGAAATCGAACGCACTGAAAGTCCACAAATCCACTAACCTTGTGCCCCGCTTGGGCCATAAAAACTGCGTATCGATTTCGTTGCATAGAGAAAAACTATTATTAAATACTGTAGGTGCAAATTATCTCTAACACTTTAAAATGGGATTATTATTGTTAGAGATATAATTAACGCATATCTCTTATAGAAGCAGTTAACACAGTCATTGAGACTTCAATAATGCTTTTCCCAAAACACGACCTTCTAATTGTCAGCTAATTTGTACCATTAAAATAAAATAATAGTTGATCGGAAGCTGCTTCTACGTCAATTAAAATGTTTCGGTGATCGTGAAAAGAGTCTTGTGTCCAAACGAAGGAAATACCAAGTACTTTTCTTAAGTGCAAGCACCGTGGTTTCTTCGTATGAATTGCAATTGGCTGTGGAGTCGTTCGGGCCAGGCCAATTATAGCGCACTTGTGCGCGGACATGTGTTGGGGGCCAAATAGCCATGGCTCCAAGCTGAGTGGGAGTGGGCCAGGATTTGTTTTTCATATCAGTCTGCCACATGTTGATGCCGCAAAATGCATTGGGCAGGTATTAAATTTCCTTTTCTGTACCTCTTCTATATTTCTTTCCTGTATTTCTTATATTTGTGCAACACGCTGCAAAGTCCTTCTATTGAATTAGGTAATATTATAAATGCGATGGCTTAAGTAACCTCGTTAAGTTAGTAAAATAATAAATCTTAATCTTAAGTGTAAGTTAAATATCTTTTAATTAATGTTCAGACCTGTAATTTACGGCTTGTGTATGTAATTAGAATAGAAAAACGCAGTTTTCACCCCATTAAACAAGTATTATTTATTAGAATAATTTCTATGTCAGAGTGCTGTCTTTCGTAACCACACACAAAAAAAAGGAAAAAACTCATCAGACTTTATTTAAAAAGTCATCAATTTATTTTTCATATTTTTCGTGTTAACAAATGCAAAGGAAATAATATACTTGTATGAGCTGGAACCTAATTTATTATTTTAGATGTTATTTTATATTTTAATTTCAAACCATTTTTTTTTTAAATTAACTAAAAGCCGGTAGTTTCCATAAGGTTTTTATTACAGCGAATTTGTTGTGTACGAATGAGACAATATCAGACGCGGAATATATTCTCTTCTCTTTTGATATAAAACCACAGTCTGGTGAAAATACTGGTGCTGTCAAGACGAACCTTGAATAGATTCGCAATCAGTCTACTATCAGTTTACTATAGAAAAGCGGATTTAACATTGGGAATAACGAAGATGTGGTTATTGTTAGGTATCGGAGTTCTGATCTTGAGTTTGGTGTGGGATACCAGACGCAAACAATGGAGAATGAACGTCTTTGAGAAGTCCAAGATTTCGGGACCATTTTCGATCCCAATAGTGGGCAATGGACTGCAGGCCTTGACTTTGAGGCCGGAAAGTGAGTTTTACTTAAAATTAGTTGATAAATGAAAAGTACTGGGATCAGAATTGCTACAGAAGAATGATAGCACAAATACGCATTATCTATAACTCTTTGCACATATTTATTTACCCTTGTAGATTTTATTCAGAGGTTTGGCGACTACTTCAATAAATATGGCAAAACCTTCCGCCTGTGGATTCTGGGCGAGTGCCTTATTTACACAAAGGATCTAAAGTACTTTGAAGGCATTCTAAGTAGTAGCACACTGCTCAAAAAAGCTCAGCTCTACCGATTTTTGAGAGATTTTCTTGGCGATGGACTTCTTTTAAGCACGGGAAACAAGTGGAGCTCTCGCAGAAAGGTTCTCGCCCCAGCATTTCACTTCAAATGCCTCGAAAACTTCGTTGAGATAATGGATAGAAATAGTGGGATCATGGTGGAGAAATTAAGAAGAGTTGCTGATGGAAAAACATGCGTCGACCTTTTCAAGTTTGTTTCGCTGGAAGCCCTCGATGTGACCACAGGTATTTGATAATTGATCATTTAAATATTAACAAGTATTTATTGATAATTTACTAGAGACCGCAATGGGTGTTCGGGTGAATGCTCAGAACGACTCGAATTTCCCCTACACAAAAGCCCTTAAGAGGTAGGTGCTGTATATCCTTCATGTACACCATGCTTCATTAAAAATCTTCTGTTTTCAGTGTGGTTTATATCGAGTCCAAGCGCTTGGCAAGTGTCTCGATGCGCTATAACTGGCTTTTTCCACTGGCGGCCCCCCTTGTTTATCGCCGATTGCAAAAGGACATTGCTATAATGCAGGACTTTACGGACAAGGTCATTCGCGAACGACGAGAGATTTTGGAGCGGACAAGAGCGGATGGCACCTACAAACCGCTGAGTACGTGAACTATAAGCATTGCCGAGCTATTATGTTGTATATATAATCTGTTTTGTAGTAATGGGAGACGAAGAAATCGGCGGCAAAGCGAAGATGACTTTGCTGGACATCCTGCTGCAAGCCTCCATCGACAACAAGCCCCTAAGTGATGTGGATATCCGCGAGGAGGTGGACGTTTTCATATTCGCCGGGGATGACACCACCACTAGTGGGGTGTCCCACGCCCTACATGCGATATCCAGGCATCCCGAAGTCCAGGAGTGCATCTACGAGGAACTAGTTTCTGTTCTGGGACCGGATCCCGACGCTTCGGTGACCCAATCCAAGTTGCTGGAACTTCAGTATCTCGACTGCGTGATCAAGGAGACGATGCGCTTGTATCCACCAGTTCCTATACTCGGAAGGTACATTCCCGAGGACCTGAACATTGGCGATAAAACCATTCCCGGCAACACAAGCATTTTACTAATGCCCTACTATGTCTACCGAGATCCGGAGTACTTTCCGGATCCCCTGGTCTTCAAGCCGGAGCGATGGATGGATATGAAAATGACCTCGCAAACACCTCTAGCATATATTCCCTTTAGTGCTGGACCCAAGAACTGTATAGGCCAGAAATTTGCCAACCTCCAGATGAAAGCGCTGATCAGTAAGGTCATTCGTCACTACGAACTGCTCCCGCTTGGCGAGGATCTCAAAGCTACGTACACGTTCATATTGAGCTCCTCATCGGGAAATAATGTTGGCCTTAAGCCGAGAACAAGAGTTAAATGATTAAGCGATACATATGGTTAATATAATCGCCTTCTCTTTTTTTTTTAATTTATTTTATATTATACGGCAGGAACAAACCTATTTTTACTGAAAATCGATACCAGTGGAAAAGTTGTCCTAATTTAATGGCCGGCTGTTTAGTTTCATTAAACTATTTGTGATAATGTACGTAATTGTGAAGGTATCTTTAAGCATTTTACATCAAAGAACTCCCGATTTCTTGCTGTGCATCCTGCGTAGTATTTTCAAATGGCTCTACCTTTTTTGGCATTCCATGACTCATCTGCTGAATCCACTTAACCCACTTCGATGTTGAAGCCGCCACCCACATGTGCGAAATTTCCATAAGCCAATTGCAGAAACCTCAGCCCCAACGATCCCAGAAAAGCTCCACAAGACAACCGACAACCAGTAACGACAGTTTTTTTGTCACAACTCCAGCATTAAAACATTCTTTACAGCCCCTGGGCACGCTCCATGCCTCCATTCCGCACACACACATACGAGTATGTACGATCGCATAAAAGTCAGGCGAAACGATCTCATCATAACTTAAACGTCACGTTGCAAAGAGCCATTAAAGTATTGGCTCCAAAGCCAAAATAAAATAAAGGAAAATTCGCTGGCGACACAGTGAACCAATGACTCCTAACGATCGCGGAGAAAAAGAGTAAAACTGCATTTTAAGAGTGTTTGGCACACTGGTTTTAAGAGAGAAACTTGAAGTGCCGGTGATTTTAGACCCGATCCGTGGATTGAGCTCGAAAGCGAAATCAAATCGAAACCGAAAGCCAAGCCGAGTTGAGGTGAGCTTCGTGTTGGTCTCTTTCAGAAGAATCCGAAAGAGAAGCTTTGGATTTTTGGCTTCTTCGGCCGGAGGTTTTATCTTTCAGTCGGTTTTTTGGCAGCCGATCGCGCGGATGAGGCTCAAAAAAAGCGGGTTTCAAAAATCTTCGAAAACTAACAACAAGTGCTAAGCGTGAGTTTTTCATCTTGGGGTACTAATTGTAATTGAAATTATAGTCGAAGTGTAAAATTATTGGTGATTGATTGAGTGAAGTGTGAGACCAATCTTGAGAAATTACTGTGTGTTTGGCCAAACTCTAAGGCATGCGAAAAATCCTTTGTGAAAAAGATACATTGAAGCCTCCCACAATTATTAGCGTGCAGAAAAATGCCCGACAAATGCTTGCCAAACGAAATTTTTATGCAAATTAAGACGCTCGTAATTACAGAGCAACAAGCTCAAATTGCCATGTACAAGCCCAAGCCAAAGTCACTTTAATTAATTTTGAAGTTTGCACTTTTAATTAAAGACGAAAAATAGAAGCGAAAAAATAAAGTTGCAATCAACATTGATTAACATAACATGAATGTCGAGCACTCACATTCGCATATCCATAAACATTCGCGGTTGCCCTGCAACAATATAAATAATAAAATAAAATCCCGACCGCAAAGTGAATCTGAAAAGCGTGGAAAAGTGACAAAAGTGCGGTTCTCGTGTGAGCTACGACCATCATCGTCGAATGGGTGTTTGCTGTTTGCTGGTGTGAAATACAAATCAGAAAATCTGGTAGCTGCATTAATTACAAATGTATTCAAATGAGCAAACAGGTGGAACACAGACAAACCAGAACTCGCAGGCTGGCGCTTAATGATTGTGCAGATGTTGAGATCTCTTGTAGGCCTGATTGATAAAATAATTGCTCCGATGACAGGCAGATTTTAATGCAACGCTTGTCTTAAAGTAAAAAAGAATAAGTTGCTGATCTTGACATGTGCGCTAATATCAACGAGTTATTAGTAAAGAAGCTAGTGGATGAACCGTTCTAAGATATCTTTAAAGGCGCTAAATGATTAGAGTGGTTTCTGAGATCATTTCCCAGCTGAGTGATCATAAGAAGTTTCTAAGGTTTTTTCAATGCTAACAAATTATCATAATGGTGATGGCTGAAGAACTCTGACATCTTTAACGCTGTCTGATCATTGGATCGTAAAATAATGATCGTAAAAGTAATATGCACTCCGTGTGGGAGAACAAATTTATATTTAATTTTCTTGTAATAACCATAATATAATGTTTCTCCTTTTTTTGTGGTAATATTGGAGATTTTACTCGATAAGCAGGAGTAAATGACCTACTGTAAATGCTTACAAACCATAATTTTAATATTCGGATATCTCTCAAGAAGAACAAGCATTATTGAGTTCCAAGGATTATGGCCTGGTAATCAATACAGTTGTTAAAGCTTTTGTGTATCAGTCGTTAGCCTAATAAGTATCAAGATCATAAACAAAATTGGAAATAAAATTGAAAGAGAATTCGCAAAACCATGACTGATCAGTTTTCGCGATCGCATAACAAAAGGTGCCAAAGTACGTAATACAATGGAAAAGTAATTAAAGTTGTTTATTCGGTAATGAGCAGTCAGCTGAAAGAACAGGAGATTGTATTGTACCTATAATACGTATCCACGGATCAAAAGTCAATTAAACTACAGACGTGCATTTATCCGCCCACGATCTGTTCAAATGTCAACAATGATCGATGGCTTAATCGGCCAGAATCGGTCGGAATCGGTGGAATCTAACATATTGACTTCACTGTCATCTAATCAGCCCAGTCCACCTCGACCCAAACACGACCGATCGCTGGTTGTCATAACCTAGCTGCAGCTCCTCTTGATCTTCGGTTCTCCAAATATGACTCAGAACTTAGCCAGCCAAACTGTAGCAAGTTGCATGCGCATGTAAGGCCATAATCGCTATGTCTAACTGCCATAATCCACCCGCTAACTGAAGGCAGCTCGGAAGGCAGCTGGCCCCAGCTTCACTTGGATTCAGATGCAGCTCTAGACCAGACTCTGACTTCCAATCGCACTTGGACTGGACAGAGTCGCTGGCTCACCTCGCACAGAAAAACATCGCACGGCACGTACTGCGGCTGCAGCGAAATAAAATCGAAAAGCATAAACAATTTATTTGTACAAAATAACTTTGAACTGTGCAGTTGCAGTTGCATTTGGAAAATGACTTAACTTATAAGCTTAGTCGCCAGTGGATGCTGCAACGCTTCAGTGCACTTTGCCTGGCCAGGAATGCGAGTCATGCACTTGGAAAGAGCAGCTCTACTGAGGAATAATTGAAAGCCCCCAAATATTTAACCATATCTCTCTACACATGAAATAGTCTAAGCGGCTATATTTTTTGGCAGTGTAATCTAAGCTAGTTTCGTTCTTGTTCGACGTGTGAAATGACCAACATCAAAGCCACGCAAACTAAACAAAGTTATACGGCGTTGGGCAACCCATGGTATGTACATATAAGTATGCAAGTTCGACCAATTGAAGATTGCACTAGAGAGGGACCCAAGTACAGAGCTGGGCATTGAGGCATACCATTGCATACCATTGCCCAAAGGTGTTCTAATGGCTGGCCAAACGAGCGATTGAACAATGCCTGGAAGTGCCTTTCGGCCTCAGATACGGCCACTCAGATATCGAATGCAGCTACAGTTACTAATTAGACAGGTTGCCAAAGATCTAGATAGGTGCGTGACTTCGAAACACATCGGAGACTGTAATTGAGAGGATATGTTGGTTATCTGCCAACCACTAAAAATGCCCGCTTTGTACGGAGATTACCTCATTTCCCACGCAGTTTGACATGCTCATCGGTCGTTAAGTAGGCTTGGAAAACCACCAAGTTCGCAGCTACTACACATTCACCGCAGACATTTAGCTCCCACCTCACCCGGTAATCGTGGTCTTTGGTTACACCCGTCCAAATCTCAGTCTCGACCCTAAAGCAAGGTTCTTTGCGGCACTCCGTCATAGCTGTTTTGACCTTTCTGTCGATTGCTTGGCCAGCATTTTCCACCATTCAGCCGACCTTAGCCAAATCTCAAAAGCCGCCAGCGAAACGCTTAATAACCTGGCCAAAAAAGGTTTGGCACACCTGAGAGGAGTTGAAGAGGCGAGAGTTGAGTGCCGGCCTGCAGCTCATTAATCGGCCAACGAACGGTAGAGCAGATGTTGATGTACTCAGAAAAATATTACTTAATTGCAAAGACATACGTACATACGTACATAAGGAAAAGCTTACAGTGAAAACAATCAGAGGAGAGCGCGCCATGTAAAATATGGAAATCTATGTAAACTCACTAGACCCAATAGATCACATAAAAGGCTCAATTATGCTGTCAATGCTAAGAGAGATACAACTTGCGCCACATTTTCCTCTGTGCCGCCGACTCCGCCTCTTTGGCTTCCCGGCAAGAAGCCGCAACACTTGAGGCAACATGGAATCTGGACAACTTGGTTACTGGCAACTTGGCAGCAGGCAGGCAGAGGCAGTCAGGCAGCAACGAAAACAAAAGTGAAAAGGTCACTAGCACCAGTTGGCAAGCAGTTGCAGTTGGAGCGGGAGGAGCAAGAGGAGCAAGAGGAGCAAGATCCCGGCTGGAGTTGTCTGAACCGAAACCAAGATATATACTTGCACTATATGTATGTGTGTACAAACAAAACACTTCAACACTCGACACTCAGCCAACTGTGGCCGCCAAGCTCAAGCGCCTTTTGATCATCGCACTCGTAATGCCAACCCAGGGGAAAAGGGTAAAAATTGGTAGTAACACGAGTGCATAACACCGAGTGGCGTTTTAAGTAAGGCAACTCTTTTAGGGATACCCTGAAAACCAATCAAAGTTTTAGTTGCATGCGCTGCAAAAAAAGATATGCAAAATATTGGAGTCTTTACCCACATAAATGTCTTTACAATTAATGTACTTAGAGATATCATTTTTGTGCAAAACTTGCACGGTGTGGGAATAAATATTGCGAAAAAATGTGTATTGCACATAAAATAAGGAATGCCAATTTATTTGACATTTTCTTGCGTTGGCCCATTCCCATTTATAATAACCGCTCCCAGGGCATCTATTCTTCGTGTCAGTCAGATTCACCAGCTTATTTCCAACTTTTATTGCCGTGGTTTTGGTTGTTTCGCTTGCTCTTCGTTTTTCCGGCTAACGAGTTTTCCGCTGGCTTTTGTGTATCTGCAACTTTATGTGAACTTACTGCTGCAGAAGCAGCCACTTGCCGGCGATCTCTTGCCCAATGCAATTCGCATTTCAATTTTTCTAAACTATTGGCCAATACATTTGGGGCTTCTCGGTACGTTTGCTCATCGTATGTACGACCGTACGATTATTTATCGCCGCAAAGAGCTTGGGAAAATCCGAATGAAATTGCAGCATCTGCTTGCTGATTACCTGCGGCTTTTCTTCAGCGGAATTAATGTAGCTTAATTGAAGCAACAGATTGAAGATCAGCAATCTCTCGGGTTGGTTGACAACTTTCCACAAGTAACATAGTGGAAATGCCGAAATGCATATTGCCAGTCACTTTCATTTTCATCTGCAATTCGATTGCCTTTCGCAAATACCCGA